CTTATGATGGAAAATGCTGTCTATATCCAGAGAAAACTATGGAGTCTGAATTCAAATCAAAGCATACTATTTTCACTTTTTTTGTTTTTTCTTTCTTGTGTTTTTTCCCTTTTGTTCTGATTCTTCTTTCACTACATGACTAATGTGAAAATATGTTTAACATGATTGTACATGTATAATCTATATCAGATTGTTTGCTGCCTTGGGGAGGGGAAGGATAGGGAGGGAGAATAATTTGGAACTCAAAATCTTGCAATAATGAATGTTGAAAACTATCTTTACATGTAACTGGAAAAAATACTCTTAAGAGAAAATAAAACAATGTGGTCAAAATCTTTAAAAACTGCTAAAAAATAAAAAGAAAGGAAGAAAATAATACTGACTTAGAGTACCTCTTGAAATGGTTTTGAGACTGTACAGGGGTCCCTAGACCACAATTGGAGAATCTCTAACTTAATGAATAAGTAGGTGGTCTAGTAGATAGAGCTGAACTTGGAGTCAGTAAGACCTGAATTCAAATCCTATCTTAAGATACTATCTGTGTAATCCTAGGCAAGCCACTTTTCATCTCACAGCTTTCAAATTTGTAAAAGAAAGTTCTTAGACTTCATGGATCCATGGTCCTTTCAATCTCTAAAACTAGCATTCTGTGAACCTTTTCCACTTGTCATAAAAATTGAATTCAACAACCATTTTGTAAGTGTGTGATATATACAAGAAACTGCTAGAAACTGAGAATTCAAAGACAAAATGAGAATCATTCTCTGCACTTGAGGTTATTATGATTCTATTGCCTTCAATTGTTATTTATTCTGCCTTATCTCTCCGATTATATTATAAAACAGGATGGAGACCATATGTTCTGTAACTATATATTTCCCACAATGCCTAGCAAAATACTTTGATATAGTACTCCACCCCTACACACACACACATGCACACACACACACACACATACACATACACACAAACATATCTATTACTATCATTTATGTTGATGATAAATGGGGATAATATTAATCAACTTACCCAGTTGTGACATAAAGAGTTTCCTAATAAAACTTAAAGATGTATAGATAGGGGATGGTGTGCAGCCTAGTGTAGTGGAGGGAACACTGGATTTAGCATCATAAGACCTGGATTCAAATACAATTCAGTCATTTATTTCATGTGTACCCTTGGGCAAATCACTTCCTTCTACACCCACAGTCAAACTAGCCTTTGTGCCATTCCACATAACAGACATTTCATCCCTCACCTCTATGCTTTTGATTCGTCTATACCCCACATGTAGAATGATCTCCCAATTTCACTTTGGTCTATCAAAAGCCCTAACTCCATTCAAGACTTGGTTCGAGTGCCACCACTGTAAGTGGTCTTTGCTGATCTGTCCAGTTGTTAGAGCTCCCCTCTTGCCTTTATACTTTTTGAGTATATGTTCTGTATTTATTTGTGAATAAAGCATGGTATATGAATATAATGTCTTATAGTATGCTGTAAGAAATGATAAAAGGTACATCAGACATTTACTAGCTATGTGACCCTGGGCAAATCATTAACTTCTGTCTGTCTCATTTTCCTCACCTGTAAAATGGGGATAACAATAATAGCTACATCCCAGAGTTATTTTGAAGATGGGAATATCTGTGAAGCATTTACACACCTCCTAGTGTTACAATTATATTAAGATGTTTTAATTTCTGGCATGATAAATGTCAATATCTATAACCCACATAAACAAAAACTCTTTGGGAAATCCTTAATATTTTTTAAGAGTATAAAGAGATCCTGAGACTAAAAAGTTCAAGAATCACTGTCTAAAGACACTATTGTAAAAACATACAATTTTGAAATAAAGAATTCAGATGAATTCAAAAGAATTCAATGACCAAACATAAATTCAGAAGACCAATGAGGAAAATGCTGCTCATCTCCTAAGAGGTGATGATCTAAATATGCAGGCTGATACATTTTTGACCCTAGCCAAATATGGCAATATGTTTTAGACAAATGGGAATGTTTCCTTGATTGCTTGACTATGTATATGTTACAAATTTTCTTTTGGTTCTTTTTTCCTTCAGTTCAAAGGTGGAGGTGGAGAGGAGGTGGGAGAAAAAAATAAACGCTTGTTGAATAACAAAAATAAAATGTTAATAAAACATGTTAGATTTTCCTGATGGAATGTAAGCTCCTTGACAGCAGAGACTAATTTAGTTTTGTATTCTTATTCATAGTGCCCAGAAGAAAATAGTAGGTACTTAATAAATGATTGCAGATTGATTTCTCTAAGGATTGTTTCCTCACCTGTAAAATGGAATTTTGGATTGAAAGTTGGCCTAAATATTATTTAGTTCAATTTCATTTTACAGGTGAGGAAACTGAAGCCTAGAAAAGTTAAGGCAAATTCTCGATGGCACAGATAATAAACAACACAGTCAAGATTCAATTCCCAGTTCATTTGTCAGCAGAGTAGATGCTACTTCTACTGCATCAAGCTCCCTACCAGCTCTAGATTCTGTTCAACAAGAATTTATTAAGCACCTTAATATGTGTAAGGCATTGGAAATACAGAGTCAAAAACAGAAAAAAAGGTTCCTGCCCTCAAATATTTTATATTATTGAATATGGAGATACTATATAATATATCCATCCCATGAATTTATGATGTTCTCTAGTGGCTCAAGCAGTTTTTCAGCTATGGCAGTGATTTAGACTTCTTATGCATTCCTAATCGTTGGACTGTATGCATTCCAGTCAGCCCCCATATATAAAGTCAATACTGGTGGACACCCTTTCTGGTCACCAAAATCCATCATCCCCATCATTCCTCCTCTCCGATGATCTTTTACTCAATCCTCTTCCTCCTCCTTCTCTTCTTTTTTTCTCCTCCTCCTCTTCTTCTCTTCTTTTTCTTCTTCTCTTCCTCCTCCTTCTCTCTCTTTCTTATCTCTTTCTCTCCTCTCCTTGTCTTCCTCTCCATCTTTATGTTTTTCTCTCCCTCTCTTCTTGTGTCTTTCTTGGGTCTCTGCCTCCCTCTTTAACTGTCATTCTCTTATTTCCTCTTAATATCTCCCCCTCCTTATACTTCCTCTCCTTCCTGCCATTTCTCCCTCACTATTTCCAACCTTTGGTCCTCTCCACACCCTCCCAGTGGCTTTGCAGGGGGATGCAGCGCGCAGCCGCAGACCTCCCTCCCGATTCAAGATCTCCGCTAGCTCTTCTCTTCTCTCTGGAGGCCAGCTGGACGGCCAGGGGCCGGTTCTAATGAGACCGGGCGCCTCGCCGTGCCCGCCGGGACCTTCTCCTGGAAGCCTCTTGCTGTTCTGGGACTCACTGAGACGTCTGGGCAGGGCACCAAGGGGTTGCGGTGGGGAGTATGGGAGGGTCAGGCCGGGCCGCAGTTGCGGAAGAGTTTAGTTTGCTAAGGCCAGGCACAGGAGGGGCTAAGAGGAGTGGAGTAGGAATTGTCCGATGGGGACTAACTGGAAGGGTTGAAGGGCAGAGGCAAAAGCAAGGGGGAAGCCACCAGAATTTTAGGGATTCCTTTACCTAAGTGTATCCAATAGCAGCATCCCTGTCAGAATATATCCCACTGCCTTCCTCTTTGAGGACAGAGATGGTGCGATCTGGACCCTGTGGGTCTTGGATGCTGAAAATACAGGGCGAATCTCGCTATCCCCTCAGTTAGGGGTGTGTGTGTGTGTGTGTGTGTGTGTGTGTGTGTGGTGTGTGTGTGTGTGTGTGTGTGTGTGTGTGTGTGTGTGTGTTGGACGCGGGGTTAGGGGTGCGGAGAGGCGTGGTGGCGGGTTCCTTTTCTGTTTGATTCCCTAGTCCACTATCAACTGCTGCAGTAGGTGAGCTAGATAGGATCGGGGTGGGAACTTGGACAGCGTGAAACCTGCCCTGTCACCGTGGCTTCCCGGGTTCTCTCCTGGCCCTAACCCTCTGCAAACCGGGAACTTTTTTTTTCTTCCGATGCAAAGGGATGGGGTAGGGTGGGAAGGGGAAAAAGAGGGGGAGGAGGAAGGAAAATACATGGATGGAAAGAGACGAAATTCCCTAAGGACCCTTCCCCAATTTCTGTGCTTAAGGAAAGGGAAAGCCCAGAACACTGCGCCCCTAGCCCCCTCTCCCCGCCCAGCAGCAAGTGAAGCACCTCCTTTACTCCCCAGGATGAAGAATTCCAGGTGCAAATACAGCGGAGGTGGTGAAAAAGCCCGGGGTGGGGGTGGGGGGGCGCGTGGAACATCCAATGCAAATCAACCAAGAATGAATGATTTAGTCTCGGGGAAGGGACGGGGGGGGTGAGGGCGGGGAGGAGGAGGGCCAAGCAGAAGGGGGGGGCTCGCTATTTGCTGGAGCTGTACAATGGACCACTCCCTAACGGGGTGGGGGGAGAAGGGAGGCGTGCGCTCCTCTGTCAGTCTGGAGGCAGGACCAGCTTGGGGGGGAGGGGGAGGGGGGTTGGGAGGGTAAGTGGGAGAGAGGAGGAGGTGGTAGAAGAGCAGGAGGAGGAGGAGGAAGGGAAGGAGGAGGCGGTGAAAGAGGAGTGGGGGGGGCCCCCTCTGGCATCAGGCTTGTAAATAAACTCTGCGATGGTTTCTTTCCCTTATTGGACTAGGTGCTGTGACCGCTACCACCATCACCGCTGCCGCCGCGGTACTGGGCTCCCAGGCTCGTTCCTCTTTAGCATCTTTTGGCTTTAGAGCTTCATCGACATCCTCCTTCCTTCTTACCTAGATTCAGCAGCCTTTCTTCCTCTACTTATCCCTCCACCGTCCCCATACCATGCTGGTGACCTGACAGGGATGTGACCCGCTCGCCTTTCCCTGACCCCCCTCCCCCCCAAACCACCTTTTCCTTCTTTTTGGGGGGTGGGCTGGGGAGGGGAGCTCGGATCATGGCATTGGAGTTCCCGGGGCTGCTGCTGCCGCTGCTGCCTAGTACTACCCCGAGCTCACCTCCAAGGACCAGCAGTAGCGGAGAAGGCGAAGAAGGCGAAAGCGGGGAGGGAGATGGGGCTCAAGTCGCGAAAGGCGGCGGCGGCGGCGGGGGCGGTTGGCGGCGGCGGCGGTGGCAGCAGCGGCGGCGGGGGCGGCAGCAGCCCAGGCGGCAGCGGGGGCGGTAACTCTGGCGGGAAGGATGTGGAGGACAAGCGAACGGGGCTGGGGACGGCCGGGGACGTGGAGCAGGGTACCTTGGCCCTAGGAGCCGGAGCTGACAAAGACGGGACCTTGCTGCTAGAAGGGGCGGGCAAGGAGGAGGGCAGCAGGAGGACCCCGCAAGGGATTGGTCTCCTGGCTAAGACCCCTCTGAGCCGGCCGGTCAAGAGGAACAACGCCAAGTACCGGAGGATCCAAACTTTGATCTACGACGCCCTGGAGAGACCGCGGGGCTGGGCGCTGCTGTATCACGCCTTAGTGTGAGTACCTGCTGGAGCCACTGGCTTTGGGATCTCTCTCCTGAGAGGGCGTGTGTTGAGAGCGCGCCTAGGGCTTGCATGCTTCTATCCTGGGCTCCGAGGGCTGCTGTCCCAACTCCTTTGCTTGTTAAACTGACCTCAACGTGTTTTTTGGTGCCCTCTTTTGGCTTTCTCCCGTGGGAGAGCACGGACGATTGAGTGCGTGAAGGATATGTGGCTATCGGTCTGTGGTTGCTTAGCTAGGTATTGGTCCTGGAGTTTAAAGGAGCTCCAGCTTCCCAGCTAATTCGGAGAGTGAACTGGTCTGAAGGTGTGCGCGAGCAGAGTCTTCTCTTTTGGGTAGAGGGCAATTGTGTGTGTGTGTGATCTTGTTTTTGTGTGACTATCTTACGTTAGCTGGGTATTGCTACTGAAGTTTTGAAATATCCGACTTGTCTTATACATAATTGGGGCATCGAATGGGCAAAGTGTAGGGTGTTTGGGGCCAGATATTTATTTTCCCCCTTTCCAATATCCGCCCTCCTTCCTATGCCTTGAATGAGGCATCCTGTTCCGAATATTATGATTGGGGAGGGTCAATGGGATCAACTTCGACCTCAGCCCTGTTCAGGTCCAAAGATAATTACTCTTAACAATACAGGGGGTAATAGGAAGGAAAGAAGATGGTCGCTCCTCTCTTCCAACAGAATTGAAAAGGCGAGGAGTGGGTGGGACCTACTTTATTTGGGAGGGGTGGGGATGGAAAATGATGATGGACAGATGGCGTCCCAGAATAACTTGTCAAAAAGGTTGGGTAGCCAACCTCCCTGGACATTTACAGGGAGGGTTACTGATACTGTCCACAGAGAATACTGGGGATGAAAGGAGCCGTGTCAGGTCATACAGTCATTCCCACGCCCATGCTACTCCTTCTGGGTCGGGTCACAGGTAAATCACCGCGGGCTGCTGTGGGTTTTACTGAAGTCAGTCCCTAGTGATGTGGTCCTGAGGTTATCCCAATAGCTTGGTTTCATTCTTCTCAATAGCCTGTGCAAGTCCCTGCCCCACCCCACCTCAACCCCTTTCTGTGAAAACGGACGCAGCAGTCAGGGAGACCCGGTGAGCCTTGGGGTAGGGCGCAGGCAAGCCTCTCCTTGCCCAGGGGAAATGTTTTTCCAGATACAGCCAGGAGGTGGGGTCGTCTATACAGTATAGTAGCGCATGAGCAACAGTAACTGCAGCTGGGGGGCAGGTTCCCTGGAAATAGTTTCAGGACCAGTGAGACCTTTCAGTTAGTTCCACATTAGGAGTAAAACTGAAGTAGTGGTGGAGGCAGGCAGTATCCAGTCAATCAGTCAATAATCATTTATTAAGCGCCTTCTGTGTGTCAGGCACTGTAATAAGTACTGGAGACACAAAGAAAGGCAAAAACGGTCCCTGCCGTCAGGGAGCTCACAGCCCAATGGAGAGACAACGTGCCAAAAATTGTAGATACAAGATAGAAGCAGTGTACATAGAAGACAATCTCAGAAGGAAGGTAGGGCGGGGGAGGGGAGGTGGAATGGGAAAGGCCTCTCGCAGAAGCTAGGATTTGAGGAGTCTTGAATGAGGCCAGGGAAGCCAGAAGGCAAAGGTGAAGAAGGAGAGCATTCCAGGCATGAGAGATGGCCACCGGAAAGGCACTGAGTTCGAGTTTGGACGTGGAATACATGCATACATTCATATATACATATATGTATTTATGCATGTATAATCTCTGAGTATGGGATGGAGTAGGGTGGGGGAGAGGGGAAAGAGGAGGGCTAGCTAACGAAGAAAAGAATAATTAACAAAAATGTTAATGTGGATATTTAGCTTTTAGTTCTGTGGCAGAAAACAGCCTTTTGTAAATGCTAGAATGCATAGTGGTAGACAGGTCCCCCTTTCCTTCACTCCTATCCCCTCAGTAAAAATAAATAAATAAATGAAAAATTGTTTATTCAGTGAAGCCAGCAAAACTTTATTAAACATAAACTGTGCCAAGGTACTCTACTAGGTTCTAGGAGATATATGTATGTCTATATTTAGCTAAGACTAGGGTTTGTGCTAAAGGAACTTAAAGTCCAGTAAAGAAATAAATTAACAAAGATAGTTTTAATGCTTAATATTATACTATAAATGAATTTAAGATGTGGAAAACAAAGTTCTGTGTGATGTGGGAGGAGGTAAGTTTTTTTCTGGTGAGGGGGATCATGAAATACCTTCTTTTCCTCTCTCCCCTCATTAATAATGGCTAACCTTTTTAATCTGTATTTAAGTACTGACTTATTTGTGTACAATTGTCCCCTCAGTAGAATTCGAATTCCTTGGGGGCTGTTTCCTGTTTGTCTTTTTGTCCTTAATGTCTATTACTTTCCCTTGCATATAGAATTGAGTAGATTTAAGGTTCTAGCTTTGAGTTGAACTTTAAAGAGTGAGAAAAATTCAGCAGATAAAGCAAGGGGGGAAAAAGCATTTTAGGGATAGAGAACAGCTTGGAAGTGTGAGGAGGGGGGGATCTCCGGCTGTATGTTTAAAAAACAAAACATCTCTGTACACAGAGAAGGCACCCAATACTACTATCTGGGGCTCTATAGGTAGAGTACAAGGTTAGAAACTACACAGGTATGATGGACACTTAGGGCCTCTGGGATCTTTCCTTTCCATCTCCTCTTCTTTCTTAGAAAGCACAGCCCACCTGAGGGAGACGGATTTCTGGGAGACCTGTTCATAGAATCTTTTAGAACGATTCTTCCAAACAGAAAGCCAGAGTGAAAGATGCCAAGAATGTTCTTGAACATTCTCTGGAGTCCTGATTTTCAAGACTGGTGTGAATTACAGTTTTGAACCTTAGAGGAAAGAATATGAAGTTGAAAAAAAAATCAATAAGCCCAGATTCTAATTCCGAACCTCTGTGCCAGTAACAAAAAATTTGGGTAAATTCCTTAGATTCTCTGAGTAGTCTTTTTCCACGTGGGAAAATTGGAGTATTAATCATACTAATGAGCTTCCGCCCTAACTCCCAAAGATGTGGTGATAAAGCACAGAGTGATCTAGAGGTGGCTGTGGCTTGGGGGAAAATAGCTGCAGAATTTGGACAATGGGAAAGAGTCAGGTGAACTGAATTTTTCTTTTTAAAAATATTTTATTTATTTTGTTAAATATTTCCCAATTACATGTACAATTTTAGAAATTCATTTTTAAAAAATTTGAATTTCAAATTCTCTACCTCTCTCTTGCCCCTCCTCCACCCTTTGAGAATGCAAGTAATATAATATCAATTATATTATGTGAAGTCATGCAAAACATCTTTCCATATTAGCCATGTTGCAAAAGAAAACACACACACATACACAAAACCCAAATAAAAACAAAGTAAAAAAATGTGCTTTAATTTGTATACAGAGTGCATCATGAACGGAATTTTTCTAATTCAATGAAATATGCAGAAACCTTTTCTTTTTTAAATTTCAACCTTTGTGGAAATCTAAAGAGTCTGTGTTTTTGTCTTACAAGCACAGTCTAATGAACAAAACAGAGACTCTCCTTGAAGGTTGAGGAGCCCAGTAGGCTCTAGCAGAGGTGCTCGAGGCCACATGGGTCCCTCTAGGTCCTCAGGTGTGTCCCTTTGACTGAATCTAAGACCTCAGGTTCCCCACCTCTGAAGGTCTTCATTTTAAGCCTTAATGCTCTAACAATGGGGCTGACAAATGGTTAGTGGAAAGAGCAGCTAAACTAGGTTTGCATTCTAACTCTACTACTTATTAGCTGCATGACCTTAGGTAAGTTCATGTCTTTGTACAGGTTTGTCTGAAATGTACTCCTTGCTTACTTCCGACTCTTAAAATCCCTACTTTCTTTCAAAATTAAGCTCAGATGCTATTTTCTGCAAGAGTCCTTTTCTCATTCCCTCAGCTGCTAGTGCCATTCCTCCAATCCCCTGCAAATTACTTTGTGTTTATTTTGTCCTATTTTGTATCAGTTGTTTCTCTTTAGAGGTTCCTTAGGGCAGGGACTGCTTGTCTTTGCATCCCTATCATCTACCATAAAGCCTGGAACAGTATATGCTTAATAAATTCTTGATTGATTGAAGCTTGCTTAACCCTTCTGAGCCTCAGTTTCTCTTTCTGTAAAGTGGGAAAAGTAAGTTATATTATCTATTTCAAGGTATTTCAGTGGACAAAGGGAATTTTTTAACCCTTAAGTCAATCAATCAACAAATACTTCTTAAGCATTTACTATGTGCCAGAACCTGGAAACTTTCTTTCTTATACGGAACTCTACATAGGATTATAGATTTCAAACTGGATGGGACTTTCCTGGTCATCTACTGCAATCTCTGGTTTTATAGACGATAATCATCAGGGTCAGAGTTGGTAAACAGCTTGCCTAAGGTTACAATGGTAGTAGGGTAGCAGAGGTTATCTACTTAAATTCAGGTTCTCTGTCTTCAAATATAACAGCCTTTCTATTGCACCATGAAGAGATGGAAGTGATGGGAGAGAATGGACTGGATGTTCCAGAATATACCCTGCAAATGATTCTTTATTTCTTTTTTCTAAATTCCTGAGATGAGCCTGTTTCTTATTGTTTGACTTTCTTTGAAAGGGGAGGGGGGAGAAAAAAGGAAAAATAGAAATTTACATGATACCTCTGTTGGATATTTGGAGGGAATAGCAGGTTGTGCATGGTAGATTTGCAGTTTCATGTACAATCATCTTTTTTATTGTACTTTGTTATGGAAATGCTTGTTTTGTTCTGTGAAATGAAAATAAAATAAATTTTAAAAAAGTATAATGAGGGTAATAAGAGACAATTCGAAGTATCCTAGATATTTGAGAATTTCAATTAATAATAAGGATAGCAATGATTGCTGACATGTATAAAGTACTTCATATACATTATCTCACCTGCTCCTTAAAACTACTATAAGGAAGATATGGTATTATTTGCATTTTACAAATAAGGAAACTGAGGCTAGGAGAGATTCAGTGATATTCATT